TACACCCCCCGTAAAAATCAAATAAAATTTAAAAATTTAACAAAAGGAAACGCGCAAATGCGCGCGTCAGCTGAAAAATTGTGCTTTTTATACGAATTAGCGCCATTTCAATGCGCAGATAAAGATACATTTGATAAAACATTGATAAAACTTTTCAAAAGTCACATACCCGCAAGAAACCAAATAATCGGTTCATATAAAAATACATCTTTCATAAACATGTGTTGTTCTAAAAGGCACTCATAAAACATGAATTTGTAAAACACGATTCAACATGAATTTGTAAAACCTCAAATCTACCAAGTTATAAATCCGATTAATACCATAAAAATCACAATTCCAGAAAACATATCATTCATTAAACAGCAAGTCAATAACGTTTCAACCTGCCTCAAACCGCGGAGGAGGTACTCCCTTATTAGTCCTCTGTGACCTACGTAATGCAGGGGTAAAGTCCGGTACCACAACATCCAACGGCGGAACAGCAGGGTTACACGTATTCTTAGTAGGAACAGAGCCACTATCTTGTCCGATTACAACAGGTCCTGCGGTTAATTCCCTATCAATAGTCTGTACTTCACCGCAATCAACAACAGAATTTTGTCCAGGGTCAATCTCAACTTGACCTGCCAGAGGAGCAATATCCCGAATCGATACCGAGGCCTCCCTTCCGGAAGCAAACCTAACTTTAGCAGATTCAGGCTGTAGTGAGACAATATCCACCTCTTCGCACAAATCATCGTACTTATTAGACCTCACGTGTTTCTTAAGAAGAACCTTGGATGCCCCGATAAGCCAAGAAGGTAGAGAATTACCTGTGGCAGATCTCCTAACATAACTAAATAATCGCTCATGAGGTGATTGATTAGTTGAGGTACATAATAAGGTGCGGATAGAGTGCAGAACTTGAGGGAGGACCTGTTCCCAGTGACATGGTGCTAATTTCTTACTAGCCAACGCCAGTTCAATTCCTTTCCATATAATGGCATTATATCTTTCAACTTGGCCATTTCCTCTGGGATTATACCGGCTGCTATTTGAGAATCCAATGTTGTTCTCAATTAGGAATGATCTGAATTCGTGAGAGACGAGTGATGGTCCATTATCCGAGTGAACCATCCCCGGAGTACCGAACAATGAAAATAAATTCATGAGCGCCTTAATCACTGTCCTAGACTCTTGATCACGGCACGGAATGGCAAACGGGAACCTCGAGTACTCGTCAACTACAGTTAATATGAACCTGTTCCCTGTACCACTTGGTAAGGGTCCCTTAAAATCAATGCTCAATCGTTCAAAAGGTTGTGTTGCCTTAATCACAGGAGAGTTCTCGGACTTACAGAAACGTGGTTTAATCTTAGAACACACCACACATTTCGCGATGGTCTCTTTTACCTCCGCTAGAGAATAGGTAAGATTCTTACTCCTAACGAAGTGATACATTCTAGTGACCCCAGGGTGACATAGTTCTTCGTGAATCCGAGAGAGGGAAGGACCTGTATGATATGTAGCAGCACTAAATGCTCTTGACAAGCAGTCCGCTGTGACATTAAGCGGGCCTGGTCTGTACTCTATGTCAAAGTCTAGACAGCTGAGTTCAATACGCCATCGGTCTATCTTGCTGTTTTTAGTCTTTCCATGATTCTTTTTATCATATATGTACGAAACAGCCTGCTGATCCGTAAGTAATTTAAAGTGCCGGCTAACTAAGTAGTGTCGCCACGCACGACATGCCTCCACAATAGCACAAGCCTCCTTCTCCACTGCATGATGTTTCCTTTCATGAGGCTTCAATGTTCGAGAAAAGAATGCCACCGGTTTTCCTCCTTGATTCAAACTGGCCGAGACTGCAAAATCAGAAGCGTCAGACTCTAGCACCATCTGCTCATTAGTGTTAGGGCAGACTACACAGGAACCCTCTATACACGTTTTCAGATTATTAAATGCCGTGATTGCCTCTTTCTGTAGGGGGAATTCCGGGTCTATCAAAGGTCGTACCAAGTCCGAGAATTTTGGCACCCATTTAGCATAATAAGAGAATAAGCCCATGGCCCTTTTTAGTGAGTCAGCATCATGTGGTACCGGCAAGTCCCTCAACGGCTGCATGCGCTCAGGATCAGGACGGATAGTGCCGTGAGAAATTTGATAGCCCAAAATGTTGATAGTTTCAACTGAACTTATAGTCTTATCATGATTCAACGTTAGTCCCAACTTCTTAATAGTCGACAATAACCCCTTGACGTTTTTGTCGAAATCTTCCTGATCATAGCCCCCAACAGTTATATTGTCCAGATAAGGAAAAACACTATCTAACTTATTTTCCTCCACAAGTATGTCCATATTACGTTGAAAAACAGGCCCACCATTAGTGACTCCAAAGGGAATGCCATTAAATTCAAATAGTTTCCCAGCTGCTTCAAAGGCTGTGAGTGGCTTTTCTCCTTCGAGAATCGGGATTTGATGGTAGGCAGACTTAAGATCAAATGTGCTATAGATCCTGTACTTAGCTATCTGCGAGGCCATAGTATCAAGGTTTGGCAGAGGATACGCATCTAAGTGTGTGAATTTGTTGATCGTTCGAGAGTAGTCTACCACCATTCGGGGCCTTGCTGAATCTAAACCTGTAACGAGGACCTGTGCTCTCCAAGGACTATTACTTGGCCTAATAGTGCCCTGTTCCAATAACTCTTTAACCGATTTTGCTATAAATGCTCTCTCTGCATCAGAGTACTTTCTGGACCTACAAGCGATTGGATTGGTGCCTTCCATTAATGTGGAGAATAGAGGTATGGGCTCAAGGTTCGACATTGAAAGCTGTGCACAGTTCCTACCAGCTTCATCTATCACCAAGGGATCTCTATTTCCTCCGAAATTAACCACAAAATTCGTATGACTTCGGAGTAAATCCAAACCCACGATTGCGTCGCAACATAGTTTGTCCATAACTGATAATTTACACTCTGAATAGGTGTGGCCTTCAATCACAATATCTACTACACAGGACCCCTGAGTGTTTGTTGACATTGATTCCGAAGCTAAAGTTATTTTGTTCGTACCAGGGCCTATCGTTATGCCATTTCGCCTAGCAAAACCCAAGTCAACAAAACTCTCTGAGCTACCAGTGTCAATCAAAATGTAAGCGATATGATTATTTACCTTTGCGTTGACGGTTGTCTGAGACAGCGTTGAAGGTGTCGATGGAGACATAGCACAAAGATAAGAGAATGGGGATGATTGCTGGGGCTGATCAGCAGACGGGACGTTGTAGGCGTTGTTAACTGGAGTATAAGCGTTGTTTGCAGAGTTCTTCTTAGAGAAGTAATCATTAGGTGCGGTCTTCCCAAGACCCGTCGCTGATCGACATACTCGTGCCCAATGTCCGCGCTTACCGCAAGTTTTACAAGTAGTATTATTAGCAGGACACGCTGTTCGAACATGGTACTCCTTACCACAATATCCACACTTTATATTAGGACTAACTGAATTGCCGTGAGTGGCAGCTACAACCGCATGATCCTTTGAATCCAGTCCAGAATCGTTTCCCTTAACAATACCATTTAGATTAGAACCGTTATACTTTTCATTGTTTGAGATTGATTGCTCCAGAGTACAAGCCAGAGTGATGGTATCATCTAAACTTTTAGTGTCCTCCATTAGGCGCTGCCGAATTTGCTTGTCCCTTAGCCCACTGATAAGAGCTGTTCTAATGCTCTCTTCCCCATGAACAGCAGCTGATACTTCGGTAAAATTACACTGTTTCGCCAGTGTCCGCAACGCCAAGACGAATTGATCAACTGATTCAGCTTCAGTTTGACTCCGTGTAGATAAACAAAATCTCGCAAAGTTAGTATTCTTTGTTTTAACAAACAAACCATTCAAGATCTTAACTGCCTCCGAAAACTTTGTTTCACCCTTGATAGTTGTATATATTGAGGGGCTCACATAATTGCAAAGCACCATATATTGTGTCTCTTCGGTGTTAGCTTTTTCACCAAGAATAGTAATAAAATTGTCTAGAGTCTGTTTCCAGTGCAGGTAGGTATCTGCAACTTCGTCACCTTTATCTGTGAGGGTGATGTCCAAGCGCTGAGGGCTTAAAAACTTTTCCATGATGAGGGATGTAGACAAATATGTTCTGAACAAGTGAGACAACTCTTGCGATAACTGGAAATTTGTCTACATGCCTAACAATGATAAATGGTTAATAAATAAATTATAACAATGTGCCATGAAATAATATTAAATCGTTATATCTTTGTATTTAATAAACTTCTTACCGGCCATGTAACACGGAAAATGTGTTGCTGTTAAAAGATAAGCAGCGACATCACCCCAAAATCAACCCTAAGATAATAACAAATTTAAAATGGAGGAACCAAATTTTGAATTGTCTATCTATCACAATCTGACGAATCAGTTATACTCAATACTGGTGACATGTATCCTAGTGGTGGTCATCAATTAAACGTTATATGATGGGGTAAAAGTGGTCTGAGTTTCTTTTCCTTTTTCTTAGTTTCTTCTGCACTGCTACTTTAGATTGTTGAACTCGTCGAGAAAATGTCCGTATCTTCTACTGATTTTACTCTAAAAGAATATTCAAACAATATACACATAATATAGCAATGGCCAATTGGCTGACTATAAGGTCATGGCCTGAACAAACAATTTTTTTTAAATAGTCAAGTGATGCTAAAGCAGAGCACAAATGTGTAATAAGTTAATAGATTAAAAAACTGATTCATGTGATGCATTCGCAGAGCACAGATAAAAATACTGATTCAATGATTAAAATTATAGCTGTGAGTGTCAATAAATTACTGTGTCGTAAAAAAAGGATCGATGTACACGTGATCTGAAATACCAATAACTCAATATCAAAAGGATAGTGTCTAGAAACATTCATAGTCCATGGTGGCAGGTGTTGGAACCCTGTTCTTGGGTTAATTAAATAACAAATAATACTCAATTATTATAAATACAAATTAGATGAATAAAGAGGTTATACAAATCTTGTGTCAAAAGTAACCTTGTTACTCTACAATGTACTCTCTTAAATAGTGAATGATTGATATGGTGTGACTCAGTAACTCACACTACTCTGCTCTGACTAATAGTTAAAACACATTTCAATACTAAACTAAACAATGTCTTTTTTACTATTAGATTAAACTACTATTAAATTAAAACTACTACTCCTGATGATGATGTTCTTCTTACTATATGAGGGACTTCTGAATGATGAGGACTTCAAGTAAAACTGGAACTGATAACTATAAAACAAAACCCTGGGGGAAAACTACCGTGAGTAAAGTGAAAGGTAATCCACGTGAAACTATAAATGAAAGTGAAAGAGGAAGCGGGAACACCTAGACTAAACTACTAAACTATAACTATAAACTACTTACCACTCTTTCCACGTCACAGAACACAGATAGTATCTGTCGACTGGAATCTGTGGGATCACTAAAACAACGTCACTCCTCTCCCTTCTGCTACGCTAGAGTCTGGAGTCGACAACGTCACTCCTCTCCCTTCTGCTACGCTAGAGTCTGGAGTCAACTAAACACTGGACACTCCTCTCTCTTCTGTTACTTCAACTAGAGTCTGGAGTCGAGCCTTGTCTGCCTTCTGGAGTCCCTTTACCCCAACACTGTATATACAATCACTGGAACTAAACCTTTGCTAAAGTGAGATACAGGGTTAGTAATATGTAAGTACAAAAACAAGCTACAAATAGAATTAAGATTCTAACATTCCCCCTACTTTAAAAAAGAAAAAGTACTTACTAATAATTTAACTCATGACTTTTACAATCTTAAAGTCATAGCTCCCTATACTTTCTTTGTTAAAAAATAGATATCCGACTATCCGAGTTAAATTAGGAGATAAACTCTAGAAAAAATGTTAAGTTAAAAATATTCTAGTCCCGCACGCTGCACAAAAACGTGTCGTGCGCGCTAAACATACTTTCTATGAGTTTGAGCTACAAATGCTCGGCTCAGACAAAGGCAAATCTAATACGTGTCATGTCCACTGTCATAAAAGCAGATAACTAAAAAAGCAGTTAACGATTATTCCATATTCGGCGAGTCACGTGGTACAAGTGGATTAAATCTCTGTTAACGCGGGAAAAACATCCGCTGTAAAACAGGCTAGTGGCTAAAATGACTGCCTTCCACGCTGAGCGTGAGATCTGAGAGATATAATACTTGTACAAAACGTCCGATAGAATTAATACAGTCTAACTATTAGCTAATTAACTATCAAAGTTCTTAATACGAAAATCTCTTTTCTATGAACGGAATTGAAACATCGTTCTAAGACTGACAGGTGCAACAAAAAATACCCGTCCAACACTGTAATCAAGTGTGATCTTTAGAGATTTCTGTATCGAGTTATCGTAATGACAGAAAAACTGCGTACTAAAACTAAATATTAGGAGCTATTCAAGCTTTAAACACAACCTCTAGAGAGTCAATAATGAGTCACTAACAAATCATTGACACACACCACTGTACTAAACAGTTCTAAAACGTAAAATACATGAATTCTGTCGTTTAAAAACAGGTTCAAACTGAGTCCCTAAAGGCTCGGGATCAGCGAAGAACATGTAATAGCATGTTGATCGAAACGACAGCATTCTTATAAAACCAAAAAACTCACGCTGAGCAAGCTGCTCCTAACTCATCCCAACAGAAAATACCAAACATCCCCTGTTAACACTTCCTACAGAAGATGCAAGTTAATAAAGTAATATCAGGTAAACACTTTCATGTCTTTGAGAAGAAAAGGATCGTCTTTCTGAAAAGTAAGTTTGAAACTGAAATGTTAGACTTTTAGAAGTAGGAATCTGAAATATTCTGTTAGCGGTAATTTTATTACACATGTCACGTACAAAATGTACTTTAAATTGTATCTATTAATCCTTATTATCTCTACACCATGTAATAGAAAATTTAGCAAATCAACTGACAAATGTGACCGTGCGCTACAACACAAAGAAAAGGAGCGCTAAAGCTGGTACACACGTCTAAATTCGCTAACTAATCTATCTTTCTCCCAAAATTGTTGAAAATTTAGCAAATACAACCAAAGTTCAGTTACCAGACTAAGAGAAAAGAAAAGAAAGGATAGACTGGTTCCTAAAAATGGGATTCACTAACTTTTCATCAAACATTCCCAACTTACTACATTCTCAGTAAAAAATTTGAACTAACGACAAAAAATTGTCAAAATATCCTTCCCAAAACTTCTGTTCGAGAAACTTCTCTAGAACATAAAAACACAAAATTAATATACGTGTAAAGAGTTACAAATGTTTAAAAGATTGTTAAAAGATTGTTAAATACAAACACCTCGTGCATGTTAAAAGTCTCTGAATAGAAAGGTTAAAAATGTAAAAATGACTCGTTACAAAGTTGGTAATTCTAACAATACTAATATATACACACACATTTAAAGTTAAAAGTTTATTACAAATGACGTTAAAAAGTTATTGTTTAACCAAATTGACATTTCAAACAACAAATAATCCGAGCAAAAATATTTAATCTCTTTCTACAACATAAAGTCCAAAACAGTTCTACTCTCTCTGACATATACACAGTATCCTTGATCTATGACTTAAGCGAGCTTGCTGAAAACTGCACCTCTCCCTTCGTGAGACATCCTGAACAATCTTTAATTTCTGCACTTGTACAGAGTTATCCAACTCAACTGATACGGGTTCACCGATTGACTCGTCCAGTCGTACATTGTAACGATTTTTGTTCTTCCCTGTTGGTTTTCCGGCTCTACCTATCACCAAGGCATTATTCCAATCATCGCTCTCCGAGGATCTGAACCTGATAATGTCATTCTTCTTTACACCCACGCCTGTTCTGGTTTGACACACACTTTCCCAATCCGACTGATTCACACTCCCTGAAACTGAACTTACAGTTCCATGGTCATCTGGCTCAATTTCTGTCTCAATTTCTGGCTCACTTTCTGGCTCACTGTCTTGATCCACATTACCTGAAACTGAGCTCACAACTCCATGGTCCTCTAGCTCACTATCTGGCTCAATTTCTGGCTCATTGTCTTGCACACTCTCATTGTCAGCTCCACTGAATGTTTCTAACTCCTCCTCTTGATCACTTTCATCGTCACTTAGTGACCATGGCGAAGTAATCTTCTCCTCTAAAACAGGACGGACCTTAATTTCTGTTGCATGATTAGTTCTTCCAGAATCTGTTTGGCTGATAGAACTTTCACATCGTCCTATGGGTATCATCATGTGTCCTGACTTAGTGATCACTAGATTCTCTTCTCCTCCGAAAGCATAAACTTTGTCAGTTTCAGTATCGATCTTCATCTTCATCTTTTTCATGGACTCTCTAGACAGTAACAGAGGAATATCATTTTCCACAATAAACACGTTTAAAGTTACTTTCTGACCACATATTGTTACTGGGAGTGCTTTTTGTATCCTGGCTGTAACTGCATCTCCATCCCCGAAACAAAAATTCTTCTCACAAGGAGTCACGTTGACCTCTTCTTGTTCAGCTGATGTCAGAGATTCCTCGAAGGCTGTCAGCCATTTCTTCCCACACACTGTGGAACTAGCACCTGTATCTAAAAGTGCTCTATTTTTCGATTCTCCCATAAGACACTTGTCTTCGTCTTTTAGTTTAAAGTCAGACTCAAAGAATGTAAGCTTCTTCTCTCCAAATGTGTTGTACTTACAGTCTCTCATCATATGGTCTGTTTCCTTACAAATATGACAACGTAAGGGTCCTGATTGTTGGGCTTGTGCTCCTCGTCTGGATCTAAATGGAGCTTGTTGATACACGTTTCCTGAACTCTGTCCTTGAAACGCAGGTCTTCGTCCGAAGGGTCTTTGTCCGAAAGGTCTCTTAGATGAATAAAAATCCCTGTGTTGGTGGTATCTTTGTTGATAAAAAACTTTCTGAGGGTCTTCCTCCTGGTTGCTCTGGTCCTCACCAAAATGTTCTGAATTGTTGATGTCGTACTGTTGAAAATAAGTATTTACAGGCTCTTCTTTAATCTTTGGTTTTCCGATGGAATATGTTTCATCGCTTGCGCCGCTTGCGCTTGATGAAGAAGAAGATGTATTAGTATAATCTTCTCCGTATGCTCTCTTAAGCTGGGATTCCATATTCTCGTAGCTTAACTTAGAGACCGTTGCCCTGATTAACGTCTTTTGATGGTCCGAGAGATTAGCATGATGTAATAAGAAGTACGCTAGTACTCCATCTTCAAATACCACAGTAGCACCACGCTTCTGCACAAGGCTCTTGTAACGATGGCTAAATTCTCTCACATACTCTTCCATGGGCACTTCCTTGGGTCTTCTGTAGTTCATGAAGCTGTCAATGGACGTAAAGACTGACTGAGTCTGGTCTTTTTCATATAACTTGTCCAGCTCAGCAATGAGAACATCTATTCCTCCTGCTTTGGACAATTCTTCCACGTCCAGCTGTATAGCAACAGCTTCTGGTTTTCCAGACATATTCATGATTAATGCAGCTGCTCCTGCCTCAGGCTTGACCGTGGTTACCTTCTTCCACCACTGAACTCTCCGTTTCCAATCTGAATAGTTGGACTTCTCATCGAGAACAGGTACTTTGTCACTTCCCATGATGGATGTAGAAGAATCTGAAAGCTGAAATCGGGTGTTAGGTGTTAAGTGTTAGTTAAAATATACAAAAAATAAATACGGTCCGGTGTAACGTAGTTCTTCCTGCTACCACTGTTGGAACCCTGTTCTTGGGTTAATTAAATAACAAATAATACTCAATTATTATAAATACAAATTAGATGAATAAAGAGGTTATACAAATCTTGTGTCAAAAGTAACCTTGTTACTCTACAATGTACTCTCTTAAATAGTGAATGATTGATATGGTGTGACTCAGTAACTCACACTACTCTGCTCTGACTAATAGTTAAAACACATTTCAATACTAAACTAAACAATGTCTTTTTTACTATTAGATTAAACTACTATTAAATTAAAACTACTACTCCTGATGATGATGTTCTTCTTACTATATGAGGGACTTCTGAATGATGAGGACTTCAAGTAAAACTGGAACTGATAACTATAAAACAAAACCCTGGGGGAAAACTACCGTGAGTAAAGTGAAAGGTAATCCACGTGAAACTATAAATGAAAGTGAAAGAGGAAGCGGGAACACCTAGACTAAACTACTAAACTATAACTATAAACTACTTACCACTCTTTCCACGTCACAGAACACAGATAGTATCTGTCGACTGGAATCTGTGGGATCACTAAAACAACGTCACTCCTCTCCCTTCTGCTACGCTAGAGTCTGGAGTCGACAACGTCACTCCTCTCCCTTCTGCTACGCTAGAGTCTGGAGTCAACTAAACACTGGACACTCCTCTCTCTTCTGTTACTTCAACTAGAGTCTGGAGTCGAGCCTTGTCTGCCTTCTGGAGTCCCTTTACCCCAACACTGTATATGGTCATTGTCAATTTTGCTTTGCCCATTTTTCTTACTTTTTGATTTAAAATTTTGAGCAGGTTGATAAAGAGCAATTTAATCCTTTCTGATATCATTTTCATCTGAAGATTCCGAATTTTCTGAATTCTTTGGAATGAAGTTTCTATCTCATGTGGAATAAAAGTTATGACCTGGTTTTCGATGTGGAGCAAAAAAGTGTGGAGCACCCCAATAAAATCTATGCTTTTTGACTATTTTGATCGCCATTTAACAAATAGATCCTGGACGTTGATTGCAAAATATTTTCACTGCCAAATCATAAAATTGACCTCAGCCAGTGTGGAGCAGTCGAAATATCCTCATATTTTTCGTCTCAACCAGGGGTAAACATTACAGTAGAATCTCCGTCTTTTCACAAAATCTTAGTTTAAAGGAATACGCACCAGATAACATTATCAATAATGGTACACCTTGCTCAACCGATGCGGAGCACGAAACTATTATACCTTAGTTGGGAATACTGATTGGGAAGAAACTGAGTTTTGAAAGTGAGTGTGATTAAAAACGATAAATACATCTAATCAGGCCATAAAAATATCATTTTTTCTTGTGATTATGTTCAGACCCCCTGACTCTATTCTTTGGAACTGCTGATTAACCTAGTAATGCTCAACCATGTGGAGCAGAGGACTTGTACAGCATAACATGACTCCTCATCGGCTGATATGACTTGGATGAGAAATTAGAATGAGTATTTTAGCTTTTACAATAAATCACTAGCAGAACAGATTGAAAAATTGTATTTAATAGGCTCAACCAGAGAGGAGCAGAATGGAATGATAGATTGATAACACAACTATTTGTAAGGATCAGTTTTGTTATATTAGGATAAAGGATGAATGATATCATCAATACTTAAGAAGCTGTTGATGTATGTAGTACTGTGTCCTTTAAAGAGAAATATGCCACCATAGAAAAAGACAATATGCTCAACCGTGAGGAGCAACAGGCTTTTCTACGGTAAAAAGAGTCTCCATGATGGTCGATCTGTAGCCAATTTGTACGTAATCCAATTTAAAGTTTACTGATACACTTTAAATACTTTTCTTACCATGATTGGGCCATGATTGATATTCCAGAACTGTTCAGCCAGAGTGGAGCAGAGCTAGAAATGACATGTCATGTACGGGATTCCTCAACTGCCTAACATTTGATGAATATCTCTCTTGCATGCGGCTGTAGAATGAAGTAGTGAGCTTCGAAAATCTAATACAACAGAAATCATCTCTGCTCCACACAGGTTGAGCACTGAATAGTTCCCGTGAAGTAAGTTTATTGACCACCAATATTATAACATATTTTCTCTAGAATGAATAAAAATAATATCCCATGTAGCACTTAAAAGTTGTCTCGATTGATCAAAAGGAAGACCTCTTTTTGCTCCACATGGTTGAGATAGGCTGTTCTCGACTAAAGAGTCTGCATCAACGGTGAAAATATAGATACAGGAGTCAAGATGTAAATCACAGAAGTCACTTTATCTCAACCCAGAAAGAATTTAAAAGTTAGCAAATTTTTAACCATTTTGGGCTCCACAGGGTTGAGAGAAGTGTACTGAATATAAATATCCGTTTCAGTACTCAAAATAGAGTTAGTAAGAGTTACCAAGCTAAAAAAATCTTACAGATCTAAACAAAAGCATTATGAAAAGCTAATAAATTAAAAATTTACAAATTTCTACATTGCCAAAACCTCGCTCCAGGTTGGTTGAGACATGGTGTGTTATCGCAAATAGTCAAAAACTCTTGAGAGGGGTTTCAGCTAAAAAGTTCATAGAGTTTCAACCAAAAACTTGACTGTTTAGCGTATGATTTTTGGTCTTGAAAATTGCCTAACTTTCAAGCTACTGCTCCACACAGGCTGAGCATTAAAAGTTGTCTCAACCGGGGCTTTCTGTGTAGATGGGATCTTTTTCTGAGAGTCTCAACCTGTTTTGACTGCCAGATTCAGTTACCAACGAGATTGCAAAAAGTTTTAAAATGTCACTTTGAAGCACTGATATGCTCCACATTGGCTGAGTAACACATATAGATTACATGTTAAAGTGTCCAGTGAACATTT